CCCCAAAACCCCAAAACCCCAAAACCCCACGATATAGATTTGATAAAATATATCGAATTGATTGAAATTTCTAGATTCAACAACTTTATTTCAGTTAAAATTTGATTTAAGCCTCAATTTAAAAATTTATAAATTAAAACTTCAAGCATAATGGATGAACATAGTAACTTGAAAGAGCCATTGCTGAACAAACAGCATACTCATTTAGATTTCAAGGAAGAGGAGTAGAAAATGTAAAAGCCTAAATTTAAAAGCTAGCAGGACCTGCTTTTATTAAACGCACAGCAAAATTCAGTTTAATTCTAAAAAGATAAAGATGATAAATAGCTTGAGTTCAGCGATGAGAATAAAGATGAGTTAGAAAAGGAAGAATAGATTGATCAGTAACCTAAATTTTTACATGAAGATGACTAGCATGATGAAGAACTATTGGAGGGAGATGAAAATAAATTTAAATTGAAGGAGTATGAAAATCTGCTTGTCAAAAATCAGCCTTCACTCTATGAAAACAAGAGACATATAAAAGAGTATTACGGAGAACATGTAGAAACTAAGAAGTATACTTCCTTTACTGCTTGGACTCTTGTGTTTATAGTGATAGGATTATCAATAATTCCGCTAGAAATATTTCTAAGTGAGTTCATTGCTAAATTAGAGAATAAACTTATCAAGCAAATGTAAACATCAATAATCAATGAACGATATTTATTTGGTGACCTGACAGAATGGTTTACATATTTCTGCTAGCTAGTTATGAATATTAGTGATGTTCCAATGATAAGATATATCATATATCTTCTCTACTTTACTGGTGATTCTATTTTAGCAACAAAAACAGGTTTAGTAGCATTTTTTGGAGAATTCATAGTAGTCGTTGCTAAACTTGCATACAAGGAACCTAGACCATATTGGACAGATAATGATATTCAAAGCTATAAGTGTCAAAATGATTTTGAGGGACCCTCTGACCACATATTCATAATAGTATTCCTATGCACATACATTAACTTACTCTACCTCAGAAAGTACTCAAGACATTCAAGAACAACAGAGAGCGTTTTATTCCTAATATTCCAATTTCTCGTAGTCTCATTCACCATATTTTCTAGTATGCTATTAGGTCATTCATATCTATTTTAATGTATTGTTGGTGCCATTTACGGGTTATTTTTTGTCATTTTATGCTTGCAAATGGACAATGAGCTTCATTATTTTGTGGAGAAGTGTGCTTTTATTCAAAAGAAAAGCAGAAAATATAAATTTAACTTACTATTCATCATCATAGGTTTCCTTGTAGTATCAGTTGTTTTCTACAACTTAGATTTAGAGGAATAGCAAACTCCTCCTATTGAATGGTACTCTAATTCAAAGAAAAAATGTGCAGGTTAATTGCATGAATTCTAGGGTGGATTCATCGGGTTGAAGGATACATTTCTTGATACATCAGTGATAATGTGCATTCCAGCCATGATTTTTGGAGTATCGTTTGCCATTTCTATTGATGAGGAAAATTTGAGATGGACAAAAACTAGTGCTCCTTTGACTGCTACTAGAGCAATAATAGGTTTATTGACAACTGCTGGAGTTGATTACATGATAAGATTAGTGTTGAGTGATATAAGCAATAAGCACACATCTATTTATGTCCTTAATAATGCCATTCCTTACATTGTGACAACTTTTTATGCTTTTGGTATATTCCCGTTAATAGCTGAGGTGATCAATATATCAAGGACTAGTTAGCTGAAAGAATTTGAATTTGAAGAGTCCTCAAAAAATACTGTGCAAGATGATGAGGAAGATTCTAATATCCATTAAATAGCATCTCGATATCAACCTGTCTAAATAGTCAATTTAGGGGATATTAAAATAGAAAATCTTGAGGATCTAGATAAAACCCTTACAGCAAATCAACAGCAGATTAGTTAGCTCTAACTAAGACATAGTATGTCAAGATAGGAAAGCGCTAAATTTGGGGAATCACAATCTCAAGTTAATAAATCTAGATAACAGCAATGAATTAATAACTCTATGATCAGTTTATATTGTTAAATTTAACCTTAATTTCATAATTTTTTCAACCTCAAGAATTCATGCAATATGATAAAACTTAACTTCTTAATTAATTAATAAATAGTATTAACTTAGATTAAAAGTCTCTACCACTCTTTTCTACACAATGGTATCCACTCTAGTTTCATTCTCTCTTTCTAAAGTAATACTGAAGATTGTTGCCTGTAAGACCCATCTTAAGCTTGTTGTAGTTTTCTCTTTTCTTCATCATGTTATATTCCCTTGCAGCATTTGCGTCATGTCTATTAAACTTCAGTCCATTATAAACTTGAAGAGCAGCGTTATTGCCAATTGCCTCAGCAGATCCACTGATGGCAACTGATCTTATTCTTCTATATTCCAAGGCAAGCTTGTTAATCAAAACTGCCTCTCTTGTGTCTGGCATTCTGAATTTTTGTTTATAGATATAACGAAGTTCTCTTGTTCCAATACTAATGCAATATAATGAGAATAAATGATATTGCTTACATTTTTCCGTTTCCGAGTTTAATCTCTCCAGTCTCAAGCAACTCCGCTGCCTTAATATTCAATCCTAATGTTGCATCTTCTCTTTACTTTCCTAATCTCTGCTTGAATTCTTTACCTGCTCTTTTCTCCTTAGGAGTAGTTGAAGTATCTATTTATTCACACTCTCCATCTAATTTACTTTCCTCGACTACCTTGCTTTCTTCTTATTGATTTTTTTCCTCTTCTTCCTCAACTTCACCTTCAACTTCTTCTTCACTCTCAAAATCAACATCTTCCCAGGCTTCATCTTACTCTCCTTCACCTTCTTTTCTCTCCTTTTTCTTTTGAGATTGTTTTTCAACCAATGGGTGATTATCATATGTCTTGGTAAAGTCATAAAACTCTTCGTATTCCTCCTCATCTTCAGTGCTCATCTAGCAATGACCTTTATCCATCATATGCTATTGGCAGCTGCGACCATTACTGAATTATTTGCTACATAAGAGACACAAGTACCCTAAATGAATTCTCTCAGCAATATATCCTAACAGCCCCTTCAAGTTAATGATGCAGTCTACATCTGGGATGAAGTATGAGTGCGTAATCATCATGTGATCTAGGTTTTTCTTGACTCCTTCGCTTTCTTTATTGCAAAATAGACATATTCTCAAATTATCTAATGCAGTTGGGATCTCTGCCAACTTCTCATTCTCTTCCTTAATTGACTCAGTTTCATTCCCATCGTTACTAAGCATGCCTAGAATATTCTCCTATGGTATCATCATGACTCCAGCATTCTTGTTTTCAATCTAGAAAGACTTGAACATGGATGACTGTGTAGTGTCAGGATTGTTTTAAATAAAGAGTTTCTCGTTCTTCTTGTGTTGCTTTGCCAATTTGTGCTGCTCAAGTTGTTCATTAGACTTGAAAGTTTTCTTACAAGGCTCGCACTTCCACATGTTATCTGTCATTTGACTGTTATTCTAAGTACCAGCAGTGGCCAATAAAGCTATATTTAAGTTTAAGAGTTGGTGGTGATCTCTACTTACTTGACTTTTTCTGAAGGAAAATTTCCTCAGTAATTGGATCTAAGTTTGCCATTCTACGCTTGGTGTTGTATTGATGGAAGTCTGCGGTCAAGTGGATCTTATAAGGGTCAACGCTTGGGAATTAGATCCTGCAGGTTGAGCAAATAATCTACTTTTGTTCACTCATTTTACTAGATGACTTGTTTATCGCTAAAGGTTTGATAAGTAATTTGTATATATACAATAATAAATTAATTTACAAGCATTTAACTTGGACTAAACAAATTAGCTGCAAGGGGTTTTGGGGTTTTGGGGTTTTGGGG